ATTTACTTTGAATACACTCTAAGTTTTATGTGTATGAGGTTACTAGTATTGGCCAAATTAAGTTTTCTGAAACACTGAAGCTTGTATAGAAAAGTGTTCATTACTCAAAGGTTCATTACTTTTTAAAACCATCGTCTTTGGTGGCATCTGGTGGCCAATAATAACACCAGCCGCTTGAATCAGTCAGTGGGTGACGTCACCAGACACCGATAAATAGTTTTAAAATGTGTGAGAGAGGTTGGACTGTGAAAGTCACTTGTATTTAAAGGGTTAAAGTTCTGAATTTGAATTAAAATCAAGGCAATGAAAGTGGATTTTTTTAAAGATATATTAATTTTATAGCATTTTGTAAACGTAAACAAGGGGTTTAAAAATAATAAAAATATAAAAAATAATAAAAATTACAGACCTAATATGTTGGTGGACAATTTTGACCACGAACAAGCTGAAAGGGTCGTGATTCTGAACAAACCTAGGGTTAAACTGAACCGTCCGAGTAAGTGATGAGAGGGATTTCACTGTACAAACATATGTTTTTGTGACGATGCCTAAAATAATATTCTTTGGAGGATGCGGGCATCGATCCCGCTACCTCTCGCATGCTAAGCGAGCGCTCTACCATTTGAGCTAATCCCCCACAGGAGACTACCCCGAGTGACGTCATCATACACTGATAAATAGTCTTAAAATATGTAATGTGTAAGAAAGAGTATTTCAGAGATGAAAGTAAAATTAATTTTGGTTATTGAACAGATATTTTCGGACTTTTTATTCTCTTCTTGGAGACGCAGCACCAAAAAATAAATCACATCCCACAGCATAAACCACAGCAAATGACAAGAGGGAGGAGTGTAGTAACTTTTACCATTTACTGAAAAAAGCATGGGTCATTTTTGGCCACGAACAAGCTGAGAGGGAGTTTTTATGCTTTTGCCCTCCCTTCACAAAAATAACTATGCATTATAATCAATGTTGATGTGAATAAATTACATGTCTATTAATGTACTATTAATAATACAAGAAATTCCAGTAGCACTGCAAATATATATAATTGTGAGATTTGAGGTTGTCTTCCATCTAGTGCAGTGGACAATCAAACTGGCTTTGGTCAAAAATGTAAAAATTAATAACTATTTTACATTTATGGAAAGAACTGAAGTTAGTTAAAAGCTTTATGCAGAAAAATGGCAAAAATCATAAAAATAATAAAAATTACAGACCTGGACATTTTTGGCCACGAACAAAATAAAAGGGTAGTGATTTTGAACAAACCCAGACGGTTAAACTAAACTTTCCGGGTATTTCACTGTGCCTAAAAGAAATTCTTTTGGAGGATGCGGGCATCGATCCCGCTACCTCTCGCATGCTAAGCGAGCGCTCTACCATTTGAGCTAATCCCCCACATGAGACTCCGCCGAGTGACGTCATCAGACAGCGAGCAATAGTCTTAAAATGTGTAAGAAAGGTTGGACTTTGAAGCGAATCACCAGCAAATACATATAGCGTATTTCAGAGATGAGAGTAAAATTAATCTGGTCAATCGAACAGATATTTTCGGACTGTGTATTGACGCAGGACCAAAAATAAATCATATCCCACAGCATCAACCACAGCAAATTAGAAGAGGGAGGAGTGTAGTAACTTTTACCATTTACTGAAAAAAGGCATGGGTCATTATCAGCAGAGGTTTGGGATCAAACCAGTGTGAGACCTTGGGTCACCCTGTTTACATGTTTAACTTAATAACTAGAGGTGCAGTACTCTAAGACAAGTCTACTTTAGTGACCTTTACTGATCACACATGCTGTGAATGGACACACGTGGGCTTTGCTTCTGGAAATTATACTGGGATAGTTCCTCTTTTCAGTATTCCTGCTTCCAGCGCTCCACGGTCACGGTCAGCGAGCCTAGGATTCCTGTGATCAACTGTGGATGTCAGTGGGGGATTAGCTCAAATGGTAGAGCGCTCGCTTAGCATGCGAGAGGTAGCGGGATCGATGCCCGCATCCTCCAAATTTATTTAACCGTGAACTAAAAGCAGACAAACACTAAAACAGATCACTGCAGGGCGAGAAATCCAATCCTGTCGTATGAAAAAACCCTCTGTGCAGAGAATCTTCGTAACTTCCCGTGAGAAATATCCACAACACAACAAAAACAACTTCGCAAAACAGTGGAGAGAGAGGTGTTTTTCTTATTTATTAATTACCAGGTTGTTATGAGCTTCTTGCTGCCACAGCACAGTTCCGGTCTATACAGATATATGAACAGGTTAGTTATTACTTATATTACTTTTAATACATTACTTCCTTTTAGTTTGGGCAGTGTTTTGGCGTGATAAGGAACCTTTTTAATGCCCAATAAAGCTCATAAACCAGGTTGTAAAATTAAAAATAGTGATATGTCCTAAACAGCTGTTGTAAAGGTGGGGGAGGGTTGCTCACAGAGGATCATCTTCCAAATGACCATAAGCTCTCCGTAACAGCAACAGAGAAATTTGTAAGTCTGCACAATAAACACACCTCTTTATGCACTTTATCACAATGCGTAATGACTTAAAAGCACCTTGAAAAGATTCCCAGTGTAGAATAAAATGTGACCTTTAATGAGACATCCAGCTTGCCTGAGATCAGTGTTTGTGTTTATTAAGGCTGAGTGTTAAAGGCTGTGGGTTCATAGCCTCTGAAGGTAATAACTCTATATTACAATAAGCAGCATGTCGTTATGATTTACTGGCTATTGTTGTGCAAAAACTCCATTTTAAGTTTAAAAGATATTTGCACTGGTCTGTAAACATCAGGAGTCATGATGGCAAATAAGAAAACATATGTTATACTTTTGTAAATGAAGACTGTATAAATTTAATATCGTTTTTTCTTCGTATCTTCATCAGAGCTGAAACTAAATGAAATGACTGATCCTATTTTGAATACACGAGAAGATTTCATAATAAACGTGATTTTTAATTCATACACTGATCTGCATTCAATAAAATCTGTCATGCGAGGGAAATAAAAATATTGTGACTGGGAGCAACAACATGAACCAAACGCACCCACGCAGACACAGACAGTTTTATCATCATGAGCATGAACATCATCAG